TATATATCGATTATTTTTAATCTATATATATCGATTAAATGCTATATATCGATACAAATCTGCTTAAAAATTTTCCTAATGTACAAGATGCTTCTACTACAACACTACCATCTATTAATACTTCTACAGCGTTATCATCTCGTTATACTCTTATGACACCACCTGGTAATGCTTTCATAGCACTACCATCTCATTATACTTTCACAACACCACCTCATAATGCACTACCACCACTATCACAGAATATTTTTAAACATTTTCTTGATATTTACGAGACAAGTTTCGAAATAGATTAGACACCTTGGAAGTTCGACATTATAATAAATAATGTGAATATAGAATGCGTATTTATGAGCTTGCATGAAAAATACCAGAAGACAAAACCAAAAACTACAACATCACTCGAATATGGCATAATTGATCTCAATGACAGAATCATTTTAAAAGCTTTGAGACAATCAGTAATATCGCATTTTGAAGCAAAGATGCAAGAATATAAACCTAAGAAAGCTTTATTCACAGAAGTTATAAGAATCCTGAAAACATTTAATGTTGTAAGTAATTGAAGAATAATTTACAAAAATGATTAGATATTAATTATAATTTACTTTTTTAGACATCTTTAGAAGATCTTGGAAAGGCATTTGATGATATCAAAATTAATTATAATAATTTGAATTATGATATTATCTACTTGTATCATCTTTTCAAAAAATTGTAAGTATATGGTTTTGAAAATCAAAAAAGCAATCTTTTCTAATAATGTTTTTGTGTATAGCTTTTTGTTATTTTAAGATAAATCAACAATAAACCTTGATAACAGAGACCTATCAGAAGGCTAATATAATAGCCACATTATAGCACCAATCTTCAATGATTGCCGCAAATCAATAGATGAATATATTCTCTGATGGTATTTGTCAAAAATTTGTGTTTATGCTATATTATGCCCTTAACTAATAAATATATCTATTGTTTTGTTTAATAAAGGTGAAGTGGAAAGCTTTGTGCAAAAGCTTCTTGAAAAAAAATCAAGAAAAAGAAAAAAGTATGACAGAATTTTATTTTTTAGCAGACAATTTGAGTTCATATATATAGAGACAGCAACAACTTTTGTATTTTCAAAGTTGAATAAAGATTTATCGAAACTACACAATGCTATTATCCTTATGTTTAAGCATATGGTATTGACATTACTAAAAAAATTACTACACAAGATTTTATCCATGCCCATTCTTTGCATGCAATTTAGTGCTAAGTTAGTTTAGTTTTATTAATTATAGTAATCATAGCATTTTGCTAATTACAATTTCATTTATTTAATGTAGATTTTATTTTGTTAATATCATAGAAGCAAGTGTTGAAATTTATTTAGCAATCTGGTTAACAAACATGTGACCAGTAGTTTTTTCAATTATGGACTTCGAGATAGTAGAAGAGATAACAACGTTTTTGAAAATGACAAAGGTTGCTACCAAAATGTTGTTCTTGTGAGTAATTATCTTTCTATTATATCTATAAAGTGTCAGTATATTCTTCTAACAGTTGACCTCTATTTGTAGCCTTTTATTCAAAATCTTTATAAAAAATACCAAACATTGTTAATGAAAGAGGCTGACTATTATTTGGATAATAACAATACCTAAATATTACCAATGAGGATGAAAGCTCGTCATTAAGTAGTTGCTTGAATATTTAGTTGTTTTTAGATGATGGAAAGCATTGTGTAGTCATTTTTTACTTTATTATACACAAACTATACACTTTGACAGAATAATAAGAGACATAATCATGCTTGCATTTTAAGTATAATTGTAAAGCCTAATATGATTCCAGATCTATGCTTACAACTTAAATTACATATGTAATATAATTTTATTCACATAAATGATAGACAATCAATAAAACAGATTATATGATTTCTGTGAATTTTATTCATAGAAGTTTGCCAAAAAAAAATTTTTTATTAATACATGTAAAAATAAATACAAAGTTCAGGACTGCATTCATAATATATAAAGATTCTATACTAAAAACTATTTATCTGATTTCTCAGTAAGGTTGCCTTTTGACCTTACTCTAACAGTAGGAAGGTGTATAGACCATTACATTCACATCGCTTATATATTCCATCTGCCACCTTTTGCATGTTTTGCAATATAGATATGAATGATGATTGCATTTATCACAAACCTTACACCCATGCTTCTACTCTTTAAAGATATTCTACTTTTTAATATAATTTTGTTTGTTTTTATTTGTAAGTATACTATATCCTTTCATTGTTATATATTGACAGAAAAAAAAATATGTAGCTATTTTTTTTTATTATGTGTCTTTTGACATTAGTTCTGCTATACAAACCAATATATAACACCATATACTTGTACACTGTCTTACAAATTGCACAAATTATATGTCTATGATATTCATATATTTCACAAGTGATTTTGTAACAATCACTCAAATAAATTATGTTTAAACCTTATAAGGAAATATAAAATTTGATCTTTTAACAAATATATACATAAATATGTAATTTCTGAAATAATCAATGCCTACTATTAAAACAAATTTTTTATTAATTTTGGTGACTTAACATATTTTAGCTGTTCTGGTTTTACTGACCGATCAGTCAACCAAAGTTATATGATTGTAGTGCAGTAAAGATGATCTTATTTAAACTTCTTTTTTATAACATCAATTTCATTCCAACTTAATTTAGAAATTCTCAATGCCAAATAAGATCTTACTCATTATATTTTATCCTTACCTATGCTACTAAAAAGGTCATAAATTTTCCTTGCTCTTTCTATTCTTTTCTTAATTGCATTTTTTGAGAGGTTAGATGGGAGCTGTCTTTCAACTTTTTTATAAAGTTTTCTCTAAAATCTATGCTCTTTATTATCTTTCATATACTCGACTAACCTTTACTCAAGTTTTTTTCCAAAAGCAAAATAGCATATAATAATTTCTTAATTTACACTTTCAATTCGTTCTTTAGTCTTAACAATTGCACTGTATAAATCAAAAAAATTACTCAGGCTTGTGATAGATTCAGCCTGAGAAGTGGTACTACTTGTTGAAAAACTTGGCGATTTCAGCTCCTCAATAAGTTTTTTTAACATAGATACATTTCTGTCTTTAGTCTTTACTTTCTTACTAGATAATTTATTTTCAGGGATATCTTTACTAGGTCTTTTACAGGATTCTTTTTTTAAAGAGATAATGCTTTGGTCTGTTGGATGATTAGCTTCACCATCTTTATTATTATCTACATCTGACATATCTTCTTCTATAATTTCTGGCAAATCTTAAAATTGAATACTATGTTTTTCCATCCTTCTAACTACTGATGATGTACTTGATTCAGAGCTACTTCTATGTCCTGTTTCAATAATTTTAACCTTCTTACTATAACCAGAAAATAGACATATTTGGAATTGTAAATAAAAGTTTTTTTCAATACAAAGTCTATGAAACACATATCCACAAGATAGTATTGTAAATGCCTTAAGAGGAAACAAAATAATTTCTTTCCTACATTCCGAACAATTACTTAAATTTGAAATTTTTTTACCCTTAACAATACTATCTTTTAGAGTTTTTAAAATACTATATGCAAAATTTTTGATGTTATTAATGGGACTAGATAATGCAGAAGTAGAAATGATAGACATATTTTAATTATAACCAAATAAGTTTTATATAATGAAATCTCTTATACTTTGCTTATTTTTATAGTTTATTCTTTATGACTAACAAACCTAATTTGCAGATTTTATGAAATCTTATTTCAGATTTGGTGATTTATTCATTTACAAATTAATTAGTATAAGAGGATTGCTAGATCTTATTTGGAAAAATACTTTAGAATATACTGTATTAATTCAGATAGAATAAGATCAAGAAAATTATTACTATCTTGATTTAATGATCTGTGTGATATTAGCATATTCTGTTAGGTTTTCTTTTGAATTTATGAGAAAAAATTTCAATATAAAAATATATCACTTGATTGTAATCTTAAAAATAGCATTAAAAAAATAATGAACCACTTCTCAAATTTTCAAGTTTATTAGTATTTTGATAATACCAATTTTGGGCATGTTTCATTAATGTGCTACCTGGTTGATAAAGCCATTTTTTTGTTGCATACTAAATTATTATAGCTAAATTTATTCATTTTTTTCATAAACGATATGCTTGTTAGATGATAATAGTAGTTAATTTTTTATATACAAAGTTTTAAAATATGCTACTTGAGTTTTAAATTCTCTAAATTTAGAGTTATTGACTATATATTCTCTTTTAGTTAAATTATTTTTAATATGAAATACAAAGTTTCTTTAATAGTTCTTATCTTTTATTTCATGTTTTGGTATAAATAAATGTTTATAAATATATTTAGGCAGATAATACTTTGCAAATCATAGTCAAGCTTTTGGTATTTTTAAATTACTAATATAGTTTAAGCCATATTCAAATAACATATATTGGATATAACTATTTTTTTCTCATTTCTCAAAAATATCTTGAATATTAAACATGTTTATATTTCAAACATATAGATTTTATTAATTAAAACTTTTATTCTTTTAGAATTTTACCAGTATTATTTTTTCCTAAAAGTTTAACTTCGAGAATTTGAGTTGTCAAACTAGTTTAACAGTAAGATTATATCTCTTTCTTATATATTATTTACATTATAAAAATTTTTTAGATCTTGATTTGAAAGATCTTTTATAATAAATAATATTAATTCTGACAGAAGTTGGTCTAGTAAATTAACTTTATATATTTTTATATAGTTAGAAGATATTTCAGTCAGAAAAAATTCTTTAGAACAATGTAATGCTAATAATCTCTATTCTGGATTAGCATTAATTAAGTGAGATTTTAACAATTGTGTCTAGTCTTTTAGACTCCTTATTTTAAATTTCTTTATAAGATAATTTGACAATAATTTATTTATATGATCCTTCAAGAAATCATCCATTCATTCATTTAATAAAGATATTAACTCATAATATATTTTTCTAAACTTTGCAGATTTAAAATCTGCCTTTATCTGATTCTTCTGTGATATCTTCTTTTTAGGATGATAGCACTTAACTGTTTTAGAATCTTCAAATAAACACAGGTTGAATGAATGAATAAAGAGTGAATAATAGGTAAATAATAAAAAAAAAAACTGCCATTATTCTACTCTATATCTACCAAATAATGGCAGCATAACAGCAGCATAACAGCAGAATAATAGTAAAATAACAGGAGGTTTGTCAAT